GAGTAAAAGTAGAAGTACTCAGATCTTACATTTGAGTAAAAGTAGAAGTACTCAGATCTTACATTTGAGTAAAAGTAGAAGTACTCAGATCTTGTACTTGAATACAATTAGAAGATCTTACACTTGAGTAAAAGTAGAAGTACTCAGATATTGTGCTTGAGTAAAAGTAGAATTACTCAGATCTTGTACTTGAGTAAAAGTAGAAGTACTCAGATCTTGTACTTGAGTAAAAGTAGAAGTACTCAGATCTTGTACTTGAGTAAAAGTAGAATTACTCAGATCTTGTACTTGAGTAAAAGTAGAAGTACTCAGATCTTGTACTTGAGTAAAAGTAGAAGTACTCAGATCTTGTTCTTGAGTAAAAGTAGAAGTACTCAGATCTTGTACTTGAGTAAAAGTAGAAGGACTCAGATCTTGTACTTGAGTAAAGTAGAAGTACTCCGATCTTGTACTTGAGTAAAAGTAGAAGTACTCAGTTTATATATTCAACCTGAGCCTGCACTTGGAGACCATCCCGGTGCTGTGGAAGACATCATGCGTTGTTCCGGTCCCTAAAAAGACAACTCCTTCTGGGCTCAATGACTATCGCCCTGTAGCACTCACATCTCATGTGATGAAGGTGCTTGAGAGACTGGTCTTGGCCCATCTCAGACCGCAGGTGAGATCATTCCTTGACCCTCTGCAATTTGCCTACCAGCCTCACCTGGGGGTGGACGATGCCATTATTTACCTGCTGCAGCGTGCTCACTCATACCTGAATGTATCGGGTTGCACTGTGAGAATCACCTTTTTTGATTTCTCCAGTGCATTCAACACGATCCAGCCTCGGCTACTGAGTGACAAGCTGCAGGCTATGAGGGTAAACTCGTCCACCATCTCCTGGATTACCAACTACCTCACGGACAGACCACAGTACGTCCGGCTGGGCAGTGTGCTGTCTGATGTGGTGGTTGGTAGTATTGGAGCCCCACAGGGGACTGTGCTGTCTCCTTTCCTGTTCACCTTATACACCTCTGACTTTCTATACAACTCAGAGTCATGCCACCTGCAGAAGTTTTCGGATGACTCTGCAGTGGTAGGGTGTATAAGGGATGGACGGGAGGAGGAGTACAGAGCGCTGGTGGGTGATTTTGTTGAGTGGACTGGAAGAAATCATCTGCTTTTGAATGTGGCCAAGACCAGAGAGATGGTCATTGATTTCAGGAGGAAGAGGACATCTCCTCCTCTGCCCCTGTGCATTCTGGGAGAGGATGTGGCAGTTGTGGAGGTCTACAAGTACCTGGGAGTGCACTTAGACAATGGGCTGAACTGGAGGATCAACACTGACGCTGTGTACAAGAAGGGGATGAGCAGACTCTATTTTCTGAGGAAGCTGAGATCCTTCAACGTATGCAGCAAGATGCTGGAGATCTTCTATCAGTCTGTGGTGGCTAGTGCACTCTTCTTTGCTGCGGTCTGCTGGGGGGGCAGCATCAGAGCCGGTGACACCTGCAGGATCAATAAACTGATCAGGAAAGCTGGGTCAGTCATCGGCATCAAGCTGGAACCCTTTGAAGCTGTGGTGGAGAGGAGGACACTGAACAGGCTGTTGTCCATCATGGATAACCCCACCCATCCTCTCCACCTGCAGCTGGACAGTCAACGGAGCTCCTTCTCCAACAGACTGCTGCAGCTCCCCTGTCACAAGGACAGATACTGGAAAACATTCCTGCCCACTGCAATAACACTGTACAACAAATCACCTCTGGCTGGAAGAGAACTCTCTGCTCCATAGTTTCTCTAGAAATAAAACCACCTTGTACATTTTACTCACACATAATCTGTTTCATATTTAATACTCCATAATTCCATATATTTTGAATATATATATA